TTTTATGCTTTCAAATAATTAGACATGCTAAAACAGAATTTGGTTACAATAAAACATAAGGTTGGAAAAAATAAAAAATTTCATAGGGCCCTAAACGTAATTTTTTAAAAACTTTTAATAAATTGATGTTAAATTTTTAAGTTTCATGATTTTAATTAATTAGACATGCTTTTTGATTAATACAATTTAATTTAACCATTAAAAAGGAGTCCAGAAAAAAAAAAGCCCCCCCAAAGCTGTAAACCAAGGGGATATACTGAAATACTATTTAAATTCACGTCTCGCGCACTTTAATGCCCTTTGATTGTAACGTGTACATTCCCTTGGAACTGGAATCATGGCGGAATATCATGTGAAGTCCACTTCGCAGGGCACTTACGGTTATTTTTCGTTCTCTCTCAGGCTGGAAAGAACTGGATGTTCAGTAACGCTAAGCCCCCGCCGCACTGCGAGCTGATGGCGTCGCATCTCAGAAACCGCATCACTGCGGACGAGGCACATTTCGAGCTCCGCCTGCATCTCATCTATCTGACCAATTGCGTCCTGCATCACTGGTGAGATGCAGAGATTTGATCTGAACTGTTATGTCACATTATAATGCATTTTAATACTTAAATCAGCTGTTCAGGGAGTGTTATTTTGGTATCATTATTATTCAATGATAGTATTAAAACATTAATATTTTGAATTAATTTTTATATTTTAAGCACTTTCTATTATTTTATATTTTGATGTGTATTTTTGTAATTTTTCTTAGCTTTTTTAATATATTTACATATATCTTAATATATTTATAAAAGTATTTATATAATATAGAAAATATGTATTTATAATGATATATTTTTAATGTTAAAATATACAAATTTGTAATATTAAATAAATATTAATATATATATAATATTATCATTTTAGTACTTTAACTTAAACTAAATAAAAATTAGAAATGTTGCATTGAAAACTAACTGAAATAAGATTTCAGTTAATGTTTATTTTATTTAATTTAACAAATGTTTTTTTTAATTAGTTTTAATTTGAGTTAATAATTAGGGGTGATTTTAATGATTTACCTCAAGAAGAACTTAATCATAAATTAAAAAAATGACACATTAAATAATGTGGCGCTTTGTTTTCACTTCATTTTATTTTTGCAAGTTCTCCTATATTTTTATATTTTCTGTTTTAATTTTCACTTTAGTTTAATGCAGTTGTGTTTTGATATTATTTTAGTATGTCTATTCAGTTTTTATTATTCATTTCAATTTTAGTTGTAGTAAATTGACTCTTTGAACTAAATGAAAAAATATTGCTTTGGAAACTAACTGAAATTAAAAAAAAGTTTGAATAAATTGATTTATTTCAGTTAACATTAGAGCCCGACCGATATGGGTTTTTTTGGGGGCTGATACGATACCGATATTGGGGAGTAAAAAAAGCCAATATCGGTTTATCTGCCGATATTCTTTGTGTATATTATAGTACAGTACCAGTCAAAAGTTTGGACAATTTCCCATTCGTGTGTCCAAACATTTGACTGCTTCTATATATAGAATACAGTATATACATAAACAGAATATATATACATAAACACATTTTTTGCAATGATAACTCAAATGTGGTGATCAAACACTTATAATGACGTGACAAAGATATGTAATGGAGGCAGGGCATTTAACAATTTAACAAACATTATTATGCAAAATGAGTCTGACATCAGTGCACTGAACAGTAAAGTTGAAGTTTATTCAACTTTAATTCAATTCAATTCCATCCAACTTTATTCCTTTGAAGTTTATTTCACTTCGGAACATTAATTCACAGATCTGCGCTACTGTCTTCACACACAGACGAAACTTACTAGAGAAGTGTGAAATAATATACCTCTGTAAATAAATACAATATAAATAGGGATGCACCGAAATGAAAATTCTTGGCCGAAG